GACATTAGGAGTACTTGAATTTCCATTATTCCTCTCAGGAACACCCGGGATAAGTAGCGGCATTTTTCGAGCTTTATCCGATGGCTTGGTCTGATCGGTGGTCTTTTGTACCGGCGGGATATACTCATCCAAGAAAGACCCGCAAACTTGAGTCCACCACTTCTTGTATACGTTGGAAGAAAATCCCCTCGGAATCGCAGGAATGCGTGGAAGAATAACTTCGGCTGAAGATTTCAAGTAAGTGCTTTGGTGCCAATGTTGATAGCCTTCCTCAAAAGCGCAGCAACGGACGTCTTTCAAAAGAACTCCGAGAATCTCTTGGAAAAAACTAATTTAACGGCAAAAACGGTGGGGACTATACGGCTCCATGAAAGCTCGTAGTCTTTGCGCTTCCCGTCATCAACAAACCGTACATCGAAGTCTTTCGTGATCATGGTGCAAGCCCAACGAAAGTAGTCACCGCGCAAGATTTTTCGGCATGCAACATCTGCTCTATACGCACGAGCACTAACAGCTCCGGAGTGTTTCACCATCCCCGGACCACGGATTCCCTTCCATACGCCGTAGTGGGTCTGAAAATACTTAGCGATCCATCCGGTCAAAAAGTAGAGAGGAATTGTCGACCGAACTTTCCCAGGACATGATGAATCTGCGATCTGGTTCAGACCTCTATAAATACTGGTTAAGATTGGAATGGCCAAGCTTACTCGAAATCCCGACGCTAGGACACTTGCCATCTTGAAAGTTGAAGGACGTATCAAACCAACATCGTCGAATGGAAGCACAAAGATGCAAAGCCAACAAGAAAGGAACGCTGCGAGAAAAGTCTCCTCAAGGTGCTCCTGTCCAACTTTGAGTTTGGCAAAAGATGACTCTTGCGCCTTCGACCATGGCTCGTGGGCACCAATCTCTCCGGTAGGATTATAAGTCGCGTCAGGCCGAGAAGAACGAGTAGACTCCTTGCCGCGACGAATTTGAGGACGCTCGTATTTGACGGTCTTTTTGCACAAAAAAAAAATCCAGTCGGTTGCGCTGACGCCACGTCGACCTTTGTCACGACTCCCAAGAAGGTGATAGGCATGCAACAGGTACCGGCACGAACGGGGAACCAGCTTCCTATCCTCTTTACTGCCATATAGCTCATTTGCGCTTGGTACCACCTCTTCGTAAAATGAGCCGAGTATGGGGAGGCCCGCCAAGGACGCCAAGTCACGGAGAGAGATCGACACTTCACCGGCGGCAGTCAAAAGGGTGTTGGTTTTGGGACACCACGCCTCGCAAACGGCCTTCACGATCTCCGGAGAATAGTCGTAGAAGAACAAGGAAGCATAGACCGCATCGTAAATGCATCCTCTCTTTAGTTGAATCTCGCATCGATCCAGCACATCCTCCACCCATTCCCAATAGCAGGCCACGTACGAAAAGTTGCCATGAAAGGAAGGAAGACCATTCCAAACGCACGCTCCCTCCATGATCCGCCGCCCCAAGGTTGGAAGTGGAAGAACATCGTTTGGCATGTGTTGATGGAGTGAGGATTGCAAAGTATGCTTTCCGCCAGCGACATTCCGAGACCACGTATTTGGGAAATTTGGGACCTCCAAGCGAGGGCGAGCAGCTCCGCGTCCTATGAGTGGTGGATGCACCAATAGACGAGTCGACTTGTCCAGCGGTTGACTTTCAAACTCTCAAATTACCAACTCGGCGTTTCCAGAGGGGGAGGAGACATCCTTGAAGTAAGCCATCTCGCCTGCAAAAAAAAAAAAACATAAGCAAAGATCAAAAGATGAAAAAAAAAAAAAAAGAACAACACAAGAAAAAGAAGCCTACCCTAGAATGAGAGAAATCAAAGTTGTGAGAAGTTGAGAATGATAAAGTTCTCTCATGGTGAGGGGTTTATATAGTGTCTAAAAATTGAGATGACATACATAAGGGAAAGAAGAAGATAAAGAAATAAAGAGAAAAGGAAAGAAAAAAAAAAGGAAAAAAGATAAAAAATAAAAATAAAGAACAAGGAAAGAATATATATACATATATATATATATATATGATATGTATATATAAAAAAAAAATTGCAAAAAAAAGTGCCAATTTTGCATAAAAAAATGGCAAAAACGCCATTTTAAAAAAAATAATAAAAAAATAAAAAATTTGCAAAAAAAATGCCAACTTTGCAAAAAAAATGGCAAAAAAAAGCCATTAAAAAAAAAGCAAAAAAGAAATTCTTTTTCTATGTTTCGAGACTCGTTCACGCCTTAAACATTTTGCGTCGGCTTAAATAAGTCTCAATGGGGCATTTTGTAGCCATTAAAAAATTAAATGTCTAAATTAAATTAAATATCATGTATTTTGAAAGAAAATAAAATTCCAATAATATAAATATATGGTATTTAATTATGCACATATGTTAATTTTTGTACAAAAAATATCAACCATTAATGCAAAAATCTGCTTAAAATGGAAGATATCGTATAAATATTACGTGCATAAATAGAGCCATAATAAATTTGGCAGGAAAATAAATTAATCTTGTCAATAAAGGAAGCATATAAATTAATATCTTCCAAACAAGGCAATGATATAAAGATCTTGTCAATAAAAGAAGTATATAAATTAATATCTTCTAAAAAAGATAATGATATAAATATTTTGGCGAGAAAGGAAGGTGTACAATCAAATCCGTCAAGAATGGAAAACAGCATCTGGTGGAAAAGAAAATATTATAAAATCTTTTCATTCACGTGGCACCATCCGAAAAGGAAGCCAAGGCCACCCTCCCCTATAAATAGGAGCCTTAGCCAATTCATTGAGACACCGAAGTTCATTTGAAGACTCGCGCAAGGGTAAGTCTGTCTAAACTCTCTGCAATGTTCTTCATTGTTTTTCGTGTCATTCGAAGCGTTCTTCGTCGAAAAGTCACCGATTTGGACAAATGATCCAATATTGGTTGACGAATCGATGGAGTTAACGTTCTTCGTCGTATGTCCGAGCCGGATGAAGGATCAAAGTTCTCAAAGCCATCGAGGAATCCATCAAAGCCAAGGAAGAGCCTCCAAAGTCGCTCCCAAAGCTTCAAGATGTTCGTCGCGTTCTTCATAAAAGGCGCAAACCAGGCCCTCTTCGATCCAAAAGTCAAAGGGACACGCCGCCAAAAGCGTTATGGAGCACCAAATCCCTCCCTCAAGGATCAAATTCCGTCGGATCATCCAAATGAGGTATCAATCCAAAGTCAACGATCAAAATCGCCAACATGGATACCAAAGTCTTTCAAAAGCCGGCGAAGTCAAACTGAAGACCAAAATCCCTTCGGATCAAAGAAGCCACCCAAATTCAAATTGGAAAAATGGATTGACCCGGAGAGAGAATCAAATGATCCGAATAGAAAATAGGACCCGCATATATTTAAATCATATGTAATTTGTACGATTTTGTGTTTATAAAAATATAACAAAATTTTTTTGTCTACAATAATTATACATGATCATGTTGTTACACGGTCATGTATATTTCTATTTTAGTTTAAAATTTTATTTTTTGTTATATTTTTTTAAAAAAAATATTTTGAATTTAAAATAGTTGATATAGTTAAAATGAACAAAATCAATAGTAATTATAATATAATTAAAATTTATCAATTTTAATTCAAATATAAAAATTTATAAGATATATTTTTTTGAAAGATTTTGTCTAAAATTTTATTATTCATAAAAAAAAAAAAAATTCTCTTACAAACATCCAATTATACAACTATTTTTTAATTTTGTATATTATAGTAGTATTAAAAATTAATTTATTATTTCAATACAGTAATTGGATGTTTGTAAGACAAAATTTTTTTGCTAAATAGTAGTAGAATTTTAGACAAAATCTTCCGAAAAAACATACTCGATAAATATTTATATTTGAACTAAAATTGATACATTTTAATTATATTATGATTATTATTGATTTTTTTTTCATTTTAACTATATCAACTATTTTAAATTAAAAAGAAAACAAAAAAATAAAATTTTAGACTGAAAAAGAAAGGTACACGGCCATCTAGACTTATACATCGTCGTGTACCAACATGATCATGTATAATTATACACTGAAATATACATGGTCATAGAACAACATGGCCGTGTATAATTGTACATGGCCGTGTAACAATATGACCATGTATAATAACATGACCATTTATAATTATATAATGAAATATATATGGTCATGTAACAACGTAGGCGTGTATATAATTGTACATGGTCGTGTATTTTCCAAGTTAACTGCCACATCACATTCGATATGTCCACGTCAGCAATTTCCGTTAGTTTTTTAACGGTGAGACTAAAATTGATTGAAATTGTTTATAATGAGACCAAAATTTATTGAAATTGTTTATATTATGACTAAAATTAATAAATTTTTTATATTCTAACCAAAATTGATAAATTTTAATTATATTGAAACCAAAATTGAATTTTTCCTATAAATTAATATATAAAGAATAGATAATAAAAAATAGAAATATATATATACGTATATTTTGTCCGTACCACTCTCAACCTAAAATTCAAATGGTTGGGGGTTTTGCCACTAAATTACACGTTCATCCCCTTATGTGAGTTGTTGTTTTTTGTATATTTAAAATAAAATTAATATATATTATTCAAAGAAATTTAAGGCATATGCTAAAACATTTTAAATATTATATTTTAATAAAATATATATACTATAAATTTAATTTTATTAAAAATATTATTTTATTTATGGTTGATATTAATTTATTAAAAAAGTAAAAAAATTTAAATGTAAAACTAAATTATTAACTGTAAATTATGATGATGTTTAACCTTAAGAGTTAGTTATATTAGTGTGGTGGTTTAATCTTAAGTGGAAATTAAAGTGGATCTAAATCTAATGACAAAGAAATGCGAAAGAAATTTGTGAGGCCACAACAACCCCAGGGGCATTCTCGTCATTTGAGCAACCCCGATCATCTTCCTTAAATGCCCCCCTGCAGAGTAATCGCAGACTGCACTGCCTCCCTCCCCACCGCCACAACCACCACCAACCGCCTCCCTCCCTTTCTCTCACTCTCTCTCTCTCTCTCTCTTCCTCCATGGATCCAGTCTCGGAGTGGGGCAACACCCCTCTCGTCACCGTCGACCCGGAGATCCACGACCTCATCGAGAAGGAGAAGCGCCGGCAATGCCGGGGGATCGAGCTCATCGCCTCCGAGAACTTCACCTCGTTCGCCGTCATCGAGGCGCTCGGCAGCGCCCTCACCAACAAGTACTCCGAGGGGATGCCCGGCAACCGCTACTACGGCGGCAACGAGTTCATCGACGAGATCGAGAACCTCACGCGCTCACGCGCCCTCCAGGTCTACCGTCTCGACCCTACCAAGTGGGGCGTCAACGTCCAGCCCTACAGCGGCTCCCCTGCCAATTTCGCCGCCTACACCGCCGTCCTCAACCCCCATGACCGCATCATGGGCCTCGATCTGCCCTCCGGCGGCCACCTCACCCACGGCTACTACACCTCCGGCGGGAAGAAGATCAGCGCCACCTCAATCTATTTCGAGAGCCTGCCCTACAAGGTCGATTCCAAAACCGGCTACATCGATTACGACAAGCTGGAGGAGAAGGCCATGGATTTCAGGCCTAAATTGATCATCTGCGGCGGAAGCGCTTATCCTAGGGATTGGGATTACAAGCGCTTCCGGGAGGTTGCCGACAAATGCGGTGCCCTTTTGCTCTGCGATATGGCGCACATTAGCGGCCTCGTAGCTGCTCAGGTACATCCATAATTACAGATCTGTGCTCGATCCCATCAATGGCGATGATTTTAAATGCCTCCTTTTCTGTGCTTTCGATTTTCCATTCATGTCGGTAATCGGATTCCTTGTTTGTGCATAATTTTGCTTTCGTTATGGCCATTAGCCTTGACGATTTAGCTTTGGTGAAATTTTGTGGGGGGATTTCTTCTGGAGTTGTGTATATATATGTATGTATGTATGTATTATCACTGGAAATGGGGGAGGGGGATCATAGATTTCAAGTTAATTGATGAATTCCTTTTAAGGTCTTAGGGTGTTGAATCGGAGTACATTTCATGTCAGTGAGTTTCAGTGAAAGCAAGATCTGATTCGGTTGTCAATAGCAGAATTTAAATTCCTTCTTCGATTGGAATTGAGGAACATTTCAATTTGAGATCTAATCTTTTTGGGTAGAGAGATGGTTATGAATGATTTAAGGATCAGAATGAAGTTGATTTATGTAGTTTCATGTTGGAATTTGGATCCCTTTTAACATGATGTCTTGTGCATTTGGAGATGAGAAAAGAGGGGTTTCTTAATCGTAATATTGCATATTTCATGACCTCTAGGAAGCAGCGGATCCGTTTGAGTACTGCGACCTGGTGACGACGACAACTCACAAGAGCCTGAGGGGTCCAAGATCCGGCATGATCTTCTACCGCAAGGGCCCGAAGCCTCCGAAGAAGGGGCAGCCGGAGGATGCAGTGTATGACTTTGAGGACAAGATCAATTTTGCTGTTTTCCCTTCTCTTCAGGGAGGTCCTCACAATCACCAAATCGGGGCGCTAGCTGTTGCCCTCAAACAGGCTATGTCCCCTGGATTTAAGGCATATGCAAAGCAAGTCAGGGCCAATGCGGTTGCGCTCGGGAAGTTTCTGATGAGCAAAGGGTACAAGATTGTCACAGATGGTACCGAGAACCACTTGGTTCTGTGGGATCTTCGTCCTCTTGGGTTGACTGGTAATACCTCTAAATTTGGCCGTATATTATTAATGTTTTTCTAGTCTTGATTTTGACTGTCGGTATTGGCTTTTGCAGGAAATAAGGTCGAGAAGCTCTGCGATCTGTGCAACATTACGGTCAACAAGAATGCTGTGTTCGGTGACAGTAGTGCTTTGGCCCCTGGTGGGGTTCGCATAGGTATATATATGATGCTCTGCATTTTGTTTTCTTGTTTTTGGTGTGAATGTGGAAGTGAAGGATTTATAAGATTTTGAGCTCCACTTGTTTGATTAGGTTTACATTTCATATAGTTGGAAATTGGAGCATCAAACTTTATGCTCTTAGGGCATAAATTGGATTCCCAGTATTTGTTGGTGAGAGAGAGTATGAACTTGTTTGAAGGAACACGTGTATTTTATTGCATTGCAGGCACTCCTGCAATGACATCGAGGGGTTTGGGCGAGAAGGACTTTGAGCAGATCGGCGAATTCCTCCACCGGGCTGTCTCAATCACACAGAAGATCCAGAAGGAGCATGGGAAATTGCTCAAGGACTTCAACAAGGGGCTGGTCAACAACAAGGACATTGAAGAGCTGAAGGCGGATGTCGAGAAGTTTTCTTCCTCGTTCGACATGCCGGGCTTCAAGATGTCTGACATGAAGTACAAGGATTGATTGATCAAACTATGAACATGACGATGATGATGGTGATGATGGCAGCAGCTGATCGATCAGTAATGAGCATCCATCACATTTCTTGATGGTGTTTATTTTGGCTATCTTTTATCTTTATCTTATATATTCACGTTTCAGTTGTGTTCCATGATTAAATTTTGGCTTGAAATATTTTATCTAATTAATCTCCATTTATTATTATATTATGCGATTTGGTGAAAGTGTTGGGATTGTTTGTTTTGTATCCGAATCAATATGAATTTGAATTTGAATCTGAATCTGAAATCTGATGGATATATCTTTTTCTCCTCCTCCTCCTGTTGCGCTTCCATTTTGATAGTCATGGAAGCATCATCTCATCTCCCCAAAACAGTCATGGAAGCGCTTCCATGACTATCAGTTCGATTGAATAGTCAATTGCTGATGTAAATCAAAATGTCTTGTTTCATGTCAAAGCGTTATCAATCCTTTGGTCAATTCAAGTGGCATAGCACACGATATAGAACACATTATATAAGGTTTAGGGGGATTCGATTTTAAATTTCCTGTTTTATCTCATTTTTTTTTTCCTCAAAAATATCAAATTAAATATCTATTTTTTATTTTTATATTATATTAAAAATTAATTTTACATCAAAATATCACATCAACACTATTTATATCATATCGTACAATTATTCAGATTCAAATACCAAATCCCAAATAAATATTCTTATTTCTATATAATATATATTCTTATTAGTTGTATTTAGTTTAGTTTAGTTTAGTTGATATGATAGTTGTAATAAAGTGAAATTCTCTCTCCGTACTATAACTAAGTATCAATTTACTTTTTGCATGTTGATATTTGAATATTAATTATTATATAAAACGTATTACAAATTAAGGAAATAGATATTAAATAATTTTGGCATAAATTATTATTGTATTTGAATAAATAATTTTTGTAATTATTTTTAATAGTTCTATTTTTTTTAAAAAAAATTAAATTAAATTATTTATAATTACTTAAAATATAAATTTAAAGGTTGGACTTATCCAAAAAAATTTTACTATTCACTAATTTTTTTTTCTTAAATATATCAAAGAAATTCTTATTTTATAATTTTTATATTATATTAAAAAAATAATCACTTTAAAAATATCACATCAATACATATTTACATAATATCAATCAATTATTAAAATTAAAAATAATAATATTCAAAAAATAAAATCAAACTTTTATTTTTATTTTTATATTATATTAAAAATCAATTTTATAGCAAAATATCATATTAATACCTACTTATATATCATCTAAGAATTATTGAAATAAAAAAATTTTACTATCAATACTCAAACCCAAAATTTGAACCCCAACAATGTTAAGTTTATTCACTAAATTTTTTCTTCAAAAAAATATCAAATCAAACTCTTATTATTTTTTTTTATACTATTATTTTAAAAATCAATTTCATATTAATATTACATTAATAACTATTTATATAACATAAAAGTTTATTTATATTAAAAAATCTTACCATTTAAAATCCAAACCCAAAATTTAAAACCTGCAACGAAATATACTGTTCGATTTTATCCACTAATTTTTTTTTTTTAAATGATATAAAATCAAACTCTTATTTTTTTGTTACTCTCAAATTATTTTGGCCTTCAAAAGATTATTAACAGCGCAACCTAATGAGGTGAGCAACCCAATGTCAATCCAGCCCAAACAACTCTAACTTAGCCCAAATTCTATACGGATAAGGACAAACTTAATTTGAATAATTGATATAATAGGGGATGAGTCAAAGAACTTTCCTAAACAAAAAATAGGAAAGCGGAAAAAAATGGTGAAACAAAAATAGGGAAAGTGAAAATATTATGGAGATAACTAATTAAATGCTATTTAAACGGGAGCCAAGGTATGAGAAGGAGGATCCATCCAAAAAAAAAAAATACACACGATCCATCTTTTATCTATTTTGCTTTCTTGTTTGATTTTTCTTATTTTTGTTCCTAAATCCATACTTCCCCCGTCTCTTAACAATCTATCCATTTTTTCATTTTGGTCCGTTTCATAACAAAGTATCTATTTCATTTTTTCATAACTGTACTATCTACTTTACATTACAAATATCTTTCCAATTTACAATATATTACACAAATACCATTACATTTATATCATACAATACTAATAAGGGTAATTTAGTCTTCTACCTTTATTTCTATTACATTCCAATATAATACTAATATTTCTAAAACTCCGTGCAAAAAACAAATGGATATATGATATGAGACGGAGGGAGTATTATTTTTCCAATTATCTATTTCATAATTTGATTCCCTTTTGTTTGTACTGCTTTCTTTCGATTCTTTCAATTTAGTAGTTTAATTTCCCCGTACAATTACAATCTTTAACTTTCGTTGCGAGACCAAGCCCGGATATTTTCTTGGTAGGCCGGGGAACCCAATTTCTCGTCGATTTCGACTGGCCTAAATCCATTGGGTCATCATTGATGAATTTCAGAGATAACAGATTGACACACCCAGTGGAATACCGAAGAGTCTCGCTACGTTTATGCAACTCCGCAACGAAAGCTCGATTCGCTGCTAATGATGTTGAAGGATGAGAAAGCCGACGACAAGATTTCGGCGCAAAAGAATACTCGAGAAGTTGCGCAGGATGAGTAGTCGGCAGACCTAGCGTGGAATGAGCAGTTTACGCTTGAGTTATCCCATTATATTGTAGACACAATTAAGCTGATGATCCATAATGAACTCGGTGAGGAAAGAAGAGATCCACAAAGAGGAAACTCCCAAGACCAACACCGATCTGCCGGAAACGATCATCTGTCAAGGGGGGGACTGGGGGGGCAGCATTGGATCCCATTCAACAACATTCCGTTACAGAAACCTGACTGTATCGACTTGAGGGACCCGCAACAAGGGTGCCTCAGATTAGCTCGTGGCTGAAGCAGTGACGTTCTCTGGGTAGGCTATTACAGGGCAGCCGCCATTCCAGAGCCTTCCTGGAAGTATCAGAGGTATGCCACCAACTTCTCAATGGTACACTAACCCCTTATTTGGTGGAGCAAGTACCCATACATCGATTTTGGATAGCAATAATCAAGGAGCAGCCGTCAACATTTGGGGGGCATGACCGAACATGGCCCCGACACCTCCAGTCATTCCTCCGACCTCCGAAATCACTTGGAGGGAAACCACAACACCTCCGAGTGTACCCCTGGGGGGCAGCCCCGCCTCCTTTGGAACCCTGGGGATTAGCCCCTTCGTCCATCGCAATGGTGTGGGGATCAAACATACTGACTCCAATGTCGCTGCCTCCGCACGGGGGGCAATGAGCATACCATAGGATGAATTTTCTTAAGCGTTCCGGAAACTTCAAAACTACGGATCTCCAAATCAGGGAGTTTCGATACAATTCAGGAACTTTCAGGCTCGATGGCGCCACAGACAACCTGGGAGGTGCATCCGGTGGCACTTCCAGCTCTAGACACTGCCCAGATGACAGCCCTACCACCTATGGGAGCACTTCAAGCTCCAGATACTGCCCGGAGGACAGCCCCTCCACCTCCGGCAACACTTCCAACTCCAAACGCTGCCCGGAGGACAACCCCACCACCTTTGGAAGCACTTCCAGCTCCGAACATTACCCGGAGGACAGCCTTACCACTTTCGGAAGAACTTCCAGCCCAGACATTACCCGGAGAATAGCTCTGCCACCTTCGGAAGCGCATCCAGCTCTGAAAATTATCCGAAAAGCAGCCCTGATGATGACGCCACCTCGAGGGCGATAAGGGATGCAGATCTACCACCCCCGCTACCTTTGGAAGCATCATCAGTGTCGGAAAGAACTTGGATAGACCCGCCGGCTCCGAGAAGGTAAACTCTTTCAAATTCGGACAGAATAACCCCAGATCCGGGCAGACAACAAGGGCCAACGAAAACCGAAGGAACCATAACGATACATTTACAGAAATCCATTTTCCAAAAAAGAGAAAGATATGGAGGGTGGTCTCGGTGGACTGAGTGGTAATAACCTTTCATCCAACACGGCGTTACGAGCATCCCTCAAGGGATGAGCATCAGACATGGGACCGGAGGAAGAAGAATATGAGAGCGCAAAGACGGAGGGAGCAACATCAGCACTGGACAACTAGTTCCGGTCAAAAGAAGATGGGACAATAAGGAAGTGAGCTCCGAGCATGTTATACATAGACGGATCAGGATAAAAATATGTCAAACAAGAGTGGTTGGTGACACTGTGCCGAATCTGACAAGAGTGGAGGTCAAAATGACTGAACAACCTTCTCTGGAGGATCCAAAAGCTCCAGATAAGAAGAACGAACCTATGATTAGGACTCTTGAAGATGATAGAATTTTAGAGGCCAGTCTCGACATCATAGCCAACGATCAAGACTAGGAACGAGCCCTACCGTACAAAAATGACTTCAAGGCCGAGGCGGTTGGATTTTTACTAAGAAAATCGAGAAGTTTTAATCCCAACCGCCGCATTCCCTAACGAATTTGACCCTGAGATAACCCGGAGCAGCCCTCTGCCACTGCCGGATGAGGCCATATGAAGCTAGAGCCGAAGTACCGCCGAAACCTCTTACATAAATATTGGGCTTCAAAGTTCGACTAACTTTTTGCCCAAATCTTTTTGTGAGGGGCATTTTTTAAATTATTTTGGCCTCCAAAAGATTATTAACAGCGCAGCCCAAAGAGGTGACAAAGCAACCCAATGTCGATCCGGCCCAAACAGCCCAAATTCAGCCCAAATTTATGTACGGATAAGGACAAGCTTAATTTGGATGGTGGATAGAATGAGAGAGTGAGTCAAAGAACTTTTTTAAACAAAAAATAAGAAGGTGGAGAAAATGGTTGAACAAAAATGGGGAAAGTGAGAATATTATAGACATGACTCATCAAATGCGTAAAGGGGAGCCAAGATATGAGAAGGGAGATCCATAAAAATAATAAGGTAAAATTGCTTAAAATCTCATGTGGTTTAAAAATTCAGCGTAAAATCTCCCTGTACTTTAAAAATTGCATGGTACCCCCTTATACTTCAGAAAACGTTGCATGAAACCCCACCACCATGAAACTTTCCTCGTGTGATAAGAAGATGATTTCCTATCTATATGTTTTGCATGACAGGGGGTTTTATGCAATATTTTTGAAAGTATAAG